GGAGGAGGCGGCGGCGCCGGGCGCGCGCGGCGCTCTGGCCGGGCAGCTGGAGGCGCTGCGTGCGCGGCTGCTGGAGGACGTGGCTGCCGTGCGGGGCCGTCTGGCGCCCGCCTACCCCGCGGCGCTGCGCGCCGGAGCCGTCTACCTGCGGGGCTACCACGAGGCGCTGGCCGAGTGGCTCGGGGCGGCCGCGCGCCGCAGGCTCCCGCTGGCCGATCGCTACGCGCTGCTGCACTGGCACAACCAGGTGTACCCCAGGTGAGCCTGGGGCGCCCTGGGCTGTGCGCGCCTTACCCCCCAGACACCTTGTTCAAGTATTGCATTTAGGGATAGCTCAGGGATGTAGGATTTAGGGATGTAGCCCCGGCTAGCTTGAGTTTTTTGAGTCAGGGTCCCGCTGTGTAGCTCAGTCTGGCCTTGGACTCAGAGATCCGGCTGCCTCTGCATCTTGAGGGCTGCCGTAAAAGCAAACACCGCCATACCCAGCTTTTTGGGCTTGTGTGTTTTGTTTTTGTTTATATGCATGTGCGTCTGTGCAGATGCATGTACCCAGGCGTGCTGGGGCCTGAAGAGACCAGAGGAAGGCGTTTGTCCTCCCTCCCCCCGCGGAGGCAGAGTTACAGCCCGGGTGCTGGGAACCTCTGCAAAATACAGCAAGTGCGCCTAACCACTGAGCCTCCGCGCCAGCTCCTCCTCCTTCGCTCTTTCTCCGCCCCCTCAATTAACAATAATCAAACCTCATATAAATTTCATTGGCTGCAGTGCTGACACCTTGCAAAGCTCACTTTGAACTTCTGATCCTCCTTCACCCCCTTATTCTTTCATTCTGTTTGTTATGATTAAAAAAAAAAAAAAAAAACACTGACCAAAAGCAATTTACGGGAGGGAAGGGGTTTATTTCCGCTCACAGGTCACAATCCTCACTGCCCCTCACTGAGGGAAATCAGGGCAGGAACTCAAGCAGGAATTTGAAGGCATGCTGGCTAGCTGTTCCTCACACACAGCATGACCTCTGACCAAGGGACTCACAGCCAAGGAAATGCAGCAGAAATCATGGAGGGCTGCTGCTTGCTGGCTGACAAGCTACCTCAGCTAACTCATTGTATAGCTCAGGACCAGCTGCCCAGGGAATGGGTCCACCCACAGTGGGCGAGGCCCCTCCGGGTCAGGTAACAAGACACACCCCCAAAGACTGATCTGAGGACTGTCTCAGTTCAGGATTCTCCTCTACTAAATTGGCAGTTAGCAGTTAACCTAGGCCTTCCCTAGTGCTGGGATTACAGGCGTAAACAACGCAAAAGTGGAGCCGGCTATGACACTGACCCTTACTGGCCTTCTCTCACGAACATCCACCTTGTACCAGTTTTGTTGGTAGTGGAACCTTGGTGGACTGAGCTGATGGCCTTGGGGAAGGGTCCTCATGATGGCCCTTCCTCATTCACTGCATCTGAGGCTGTCACTGTCCCAGGCCTAAGGCGTTAGCCCTCTACATCTTGGTGCTTTGCCTCTTGGGGACTTCAAATCTTAGCACAGTGGTCCTTCCACACCCCAAACCTAGAACCCCATGGCATGTTCTCATTAAGAGTTTCCGGCACCACTGTCCAGTGCTGGGGACCCTTCTGGTCACTGATAACATGAGCAGGACTAGCTCCACCCTTCCAGGGCCAAGATTTTAGTGTGGTAAATCTCTGTTCCACGGCCTCTCAGATTGCATACTACTGAGCCTTAGAATTCTAGAATGTGGCTGGGGAGATGGTTCGACTGTTAATGGCTAGACTCACAACCAAAAATACAAGGTTTCTAGAATGCAGCTGTGTGCGATAGCCCACAGCTGCATTCCAGGCGCTTGAGAGGCAGAGGCAGGCAGATCTCTGAGTTCAGCCTGGGCTACAGAGTGAGTTCCGGGACAGCCAGGGCTACATGGGGAAACCTGGCCTCAAAAACAAAACAAAATAAAGCAAGCAAGCAAGCAAACAAGCCAAAATTCTCTCTCTCTCTCTCTCTCTCTCTCTCTCTGTGTTCTGGGAATGAAGTCCCTGGCTTTGCATGCTCTAACATAGTAAACACGCAGTCTGCACTGATCTACAGCCTCAACCCCCTCCCCACTTTTTTTTTTTTTTTTTTTTTCTGTGTGAGACAGGATCTTAGCCCAGATAGCCCAGGTTGGATCTGAACTCTCTGTATGTCAGGCAAGCCTTGAACTTCCGATTTTCCCCTTTCAGCCCTCCAAGTATCTAGAGAGGCAAGCCTGCTAGGCAGATTATTGCTTTGTTTGTTTTTTGAGCCAGGTTTTCTTTGGGTAGCCCTGGCTGTCTGGAACTCTGTAAACCAGGCTGGCCTCCACCTGCCCCTGCCTCCTGAGTGCTGGGATTACAGGCATGTGCCAGCCACCACCCGGCAAGGCAGATATTTTTTAAAGATTTCTTTTTATCTTTGTGTGTGTGCATGCGTGTGTATGCCAGTGGCAGCCAGAAGTGGGGGATTGGACCCAGTGAAGCTGGACCGACAGGCAGTTGTGAGTTGCCTTGTGGGTGCTGGGAACGGGACCCCCAAGTCCTCTGCCAGAGCAGCCAGTGCCTTTCACAGCTGAGTCATCTCTCCAGGCGCAGAATCATTTTTTTTTTTTTAAAGGTGTGACAGGTTTACAGCTCTTTCAGCCTGTCAACGTTAGTGCTAAAAGGCTACTGCTTGTGTGTTCCAAGCCCTTTGGGTCACTGGGCTCTGTCACTGCTCAGCACCCTTGCTCCCAGTTCTAGAGCCTTACCTCTTTGAATCTACAGGTGCCCTATTCTCTAGAGGGGAGCAGAGGGTGTGGTGTGGGGTCCCGGGTTAGGCCTCACACCCTCCCTAGGGAGAAAGAAGTTAGCTGCTTCCAAGTCCCACGTCAGAGAATGAAAGGATATAGCAAAGTGAGGCATCCAGCAAAGTCACACACATTTGTAATCTGAAGCAACTGGGAGGCAGAAGGATGGAGAGTTCAAAGTGAGCCTGGGCTATGCAGTGAGTTGCAGGCAAGCCTGGGCTACACAGTCTCTAAAAAAAAAAAAAAAAAAAAAAAAAAAAAAAAAAAATTTTTTTTTAAAGGTCAGAGCACTGTGATCAAAAGACTAGGAAGGCAACAGCTGGTTGCCATTAGAATTCATGTCAGTGAGGTCTGAGATTATTCATGACAGGTAGAGGCAGGATGTGAGCCTGAAAAGCTCTTGGAAGCAATAAGGCACGGGCCAGGAGTCAGAGGGAAATGGCATTTCTGAGCAAGCAGACCGCACAAGGAAAGCTCTCGTGAGGGTGGGTGATGGGAGGTATGGAAAGGGCCAAGCTGGGCTGGGCTGGGAAGCCCCATCCTCACCCTGCCAGGGCCAGGTGAGGCTAAGCTCCTAAGTTTAGAGGGAAGGGGGGGCTCCACCTGGCAAAGCTGATCCTGGGCAAGGCTTCCCCCATCAGCTCGTCATGCCTGAACTTGACAGCTAAGTCCTGCCCGGACACCATCCATCACGGAGCTAACTCCGAGTACTGGAGCCAAGGGAGACATAATTCTAAACACTTCCTGTGAGAGATGTGAAAGGCTGGCCCCTGGAGAGGAAGGGTGTGGTCCAGGCCGGCCAACGCTGTGGCTGTGGGGACTCGTGGAAGAGCCTAAGATCCAGCCCCACCTCTCACAGACCTCTCTGTCTCCTGTTTCCCCATTGCAGGGAGATTCTGGGCCTGGTGGATTTGGTTGCCTTGGAGAATGGGGAGCTGGGGCCCCTCCTGTCTGCTGGCACGCTTCGAGGTCTGGAAGATGAATGTGTCACCGATGTGAAGGTACCTAGGACTCCGCCTCTTGGGATGGGGAGGAATTCTGTAGAAAGAGGGAGGTCACATCGGGCTTGGAAAGCTTCCCGCCACCGTGTCCCCCCACCTCACCCCATTGCCCCACCCCACCCCACCCCACCCCGTCTACTCACCGGAGTCCTGTCTAAAGGCCATTGACACACAAATCCATAGCAGACCTTCCTTCCTTCCGTCCTTTATCTCTTTTTCTCCCTCCTTCCCTTCCTCCCCCATATCTTTCATTCTCTTTTTATTCTTAACTTTATTCTTCTGACACAGGGTCTCCCTATTTGACTCCTGTCTCAGCCTCCCTGGTGTTGAGATCACTGCCTCCACCGCCATGCCTGGCCATTTCTCTACATTTTATGTCACCTCCCAAGCACAGAAAGATTTGGTAGGTTCAGACTTTTCAACCCGTGTTGCAAGAGAAGGCCACTCCCAGAGTCTCAGTGCAAGGCCCAGATGCTCACAGCTGACGAGCATCTGTGCAACACATTCACACATCTGAGCAGAGAAAGCGATGAATGACCAAGGTTGCACGAGAACAGCTTTAATCTCAGCCCTCAGAAAGCAGAGGCAGGCAGATCTCTGTGCATTCAGGCCAGCCTGGTCTACATAGGGAGCCCAGGACAGCCAGGGCTACATAGTGGGAGTCTATCTCAAAACAAAACAAAACAAAACAAAACAAGCAGTTAATTAGGGGTCCGCTGGAATCACATATGTCAAAATACTCTCACTTGTTGAATGGACACTCCGCTGGACCAGGGAATCAGATATGCACCTCTAGAGTTCTTTCTGTGTACCTCATATATTGCTGAGATGGAACAGGGGCATTTTGCAAGTGCTCTACCACTGGCCACACCCCAGCCCCTCACTGGGGGATTCTAGGCAGGGGCTCTACCACTGACCCCCCCCAGCCCCTCACTGGGAAATTCTAGGCAGGGGCTCTACCATTGAACCATACCCTAGCCCCTCACTGGGGGATTCTAGGCAGGGGCTCTACCACTAAGACACACCCCAGCCCCTCACTGGGGGATTCTAGGCAGGGGTTCTACCACTGAGACACACCCCAGCGCCTCACTGGGGGATTCTAGGCAGTTGGTTCACCACTGAGCCGCATATCTATTCTTTACCTTTTGGCTTTTTGTTGTTTGCGGTACAGGCTTTTTATGTGTAGCCCGGGGTGTCCTGGAACTCGATCTGTAGACCAGGCTGGACTCAAACTCAGAAATCTGCCTGCCTTTGTCTCCCAAGTGCTGGGATTAAGGCATGCAACACCACCATTGCCTGGTCAATATATCTAGAGCAAAAACAAAAACAAAAAAACAAGTCCTAGGGTTTTAGTATGAAGTCCTAGGGCCCAGAGAGGGAAGGAGGAAGCTGGGAGTTTGGGGCCAGCTTCTCTGCCCATGCTTCATCTTGACCTTGGAGTTTGTGGCTTGAACCCAGAACTTCATGGTGAAGCATCAAGGGGAGGTTGGGTGGGGGGAGAGAGCAAGGGCCCAGGCTGTACCTGACTTCTGCTGGCTTATCCCCATTGCAGGCTCAGACCCGAGCAGCCCTTCTTCGAGTGCTGCAGGAAGATGAGGAACAGTGGGGCAGCATGAACTACCGGCCCAGTAATCTGGCCCAGGATGTTTGTGAGGTAGGAGGAGGCAGGGGATTGCCTGGGCCACGAGAAGGGCGGAAGGGGGGCGGAACCCTGCCAAGTGTCTCTCTCCTCCTGGTCCACACAGCTGCTGGAAGAGCACACAGAGAGAGCACCCCACATCAGTCAGGAATTCGGGGAGAGAATGGCGCACTGCTGCCTGGGAGGGCTGGCAGAGTTCCTGCAGAGGTAAGGGCAATGGGGAAGAGTATAGGTCTAAGGGGTCTGGCCATCCAGATCTGGTTCACACTGAAATAGTCAGGATGAAAGAGTGTGTACCAGAGGACTTGAATTCAATCCTAGTATCCATGTGAGGGAGCTCACAGTAGTCTGTAACTCCAGCTCCAAGGGGATCTATGGTCTCCCCAGGCACCTGCACCCATATCCACAGAGACACATGCACATGCATAATTCAAAATAAAATCAATCTTTAAGAAGAAGAAAGGCAACAATAATCCTGGAGGCATGGCTCAGGAGTGGAACATTTGCTTAAATCCCCCAGTGAGGAGCTGGGGTGTGGCTCAGTGGTGGAGCCCCTGCCTAGAATCCCCCAGTGAGGGGCTGGGGGTGTGGCTCAGTGGTAGAGCCCCTGCCTAGAATCCCCCAGTGAGGGGCTGGGGGTGTGGCCCAGTCCTAGAGGAGCTCGCTGCCTAACACATAAGAGTCTTTGAGTTCAATCTCCAGCACTCGGAGTGGGTGATTGGAAGTTAAGAAAAGGAGGGTCAGAGATTCCGGGGAGCAGGATCTGCTTTAAATGCCAGGCTGAGTGCCAGGCGTGGGACCTTGGCTCAGCAGGCTGTGTCATCTGTTTTGCCCATTGCCCCCCCCCCCCCGTCAGCTTCCAGCAGAGAGTGGAGCGGTTCCACGAGAACCCAGGGATCCGTGAGCTGCCCTCTGACAACTACATCAGCAGGACTATCTCACTGGTCAACTGTGGCCCGCCCCTGAGGTGAGAACACCTGTGGAGACAGTGTGTGGGAGTCTTGGATAAGCTGAACTGAGGACATAGGTTTCTGGGTGGGTGTCACTGAGTCCTGGGGGGAGCATACGTGGAACTTCAGAGGCATTGGCTCTTGGAGATGGTGGGGGTGGTGACCTATGCCTGTCCAGAGTGTGGGACTCATCCATTGATGAAGAATATTGATGGGTTAGAATTGGATACATATAGAGGCTATACCCAATGAATGATGGAAGAAATCACTTCTGAAGGGCTGGGTGAGGATTCCCAGAAGCCATTGTAAAAGCGACACACAGTAATACCAAAAAATAAGGTGGGAACTGGAGAAATGGCCCAGTGGTTAATAGCACTGACTGTTCTTTAAGGCACCAAGATTCGATTTCCAGAACCTACATTCCCAGTCTATGACTCTAGCCCCAAGGGATCTGATGCCCTCTTCTGGCCTCCAAAGGCACGGACACAATGGTGGACATGGATATACGTACAGGCAAAACACCCAAACACAAAGATTTTTGTGTATTGTTTTTGAGAGAGGGTTTTTTTTCTTTTGGTTTTTTTGAGACAAGGTTTGTTTGTGTTGCCCTGGTTGTCTGGACTTCCTTTGTAGATCAGGTTAGCCTCACAGAGATCCACCTGACTCTGCTTTCTGAGTGCTGGGATTAAGGGCCTGTGCCACTGTATCCATGAGCAATTGAAAAAGACACCTGTTATTTCACGTCTGGCCCCGACATGTGCATGCAATAAACATGTGTGTGTGTGTGTGTACATGCGTGCGTGCATGTGTGCGTGCATGTGTGTGTGTCCTGACTGTCCTGGAACTTACTAGGTAGATCAAGCTGGTCTTGAACTCACAGAGTTCTGACTTTCTCCATTTCCCAAATTCTGGGACTGGTCTCATGTGTCCCTGAAAACAACCTTAAATTTCTGCTCTGCCTGCCTCTGCCTCCCCAGTGCCAGGAGTAGAAGCGAGTGCCACTGTATTGGGCATTGTTGATTTATTCCCGTGGCTGGGCTTAAACCCAGCACCTCAAGCCTCCTTAGTACACGCTACCACCAAGCTGCACCCCTTGAATGGCTTTTATAAAATTGGGGATTCATGGCTCAGCGGAGAAATCCCTTGTAGACAAATCTGAAAACCTGAGTTCCATTCCTGGGACCCACATGGGGGAAGGCAAGAACTGACTCTCTTAGGATGTGCTCCGACCTTCACACATATGCCATGGCAGGCACACCCCCAAAATATAATAATAAATGATGATGACAGCGATGCTGCTGCTGCTGACGATGATGATAAATGGTCAGGCAGGGAAACGCATCTTTACCACCTTCTGGCCTGATTGGAGAAATCAGTACTGTTAACATTATGTGCATATATCCTGACAGGTATTTTCTACACTTCCCAATGCACTCAAACACGTTAAGTATAGCCAGGTGGTGGCAGCGCACACCTTTAATCCCAGAGCTCAGGAAACAGAGGCAGGTGGATCTCTGTGAGTTCAGGGCCAGCCTGGTGTATAGAGTGAGTTCCAGGACAGCTACATAGAGAAACCCTGTCTCCGTGGGGAAAAAAAATCTGGAGACAGTAGGACCTGGGAGAGGGGTCATGAGGGGTAAATGAGGCAGAATAAAGCCTCAGGCAGCAGCCAGCTTTGTTCAGAGCTTCAGACAGTTTCTGAGGGTTAAGAGGAGTCACGTGAGTTAAGCTTGCAACAAGCCCCCCGTGGCAGACGAGCCGCACATGGCAGAAACGTCTCCTCATAGAGGCGTATAAACAGCAACATCCAGTTGTGACAATCTGACATGACCTTACTCCTACCCACTTCACCTGGGATGGCGGCAAAAGCATAACCCAGGAGCAAGTCTGCGGTTTTTAAGAAACTGAGGTCACAGGACTCTTGTCTTGGTTTCTTAGAGTTTCTTTACAAGTACTCAGAGTTCTCTCATGGCTCCATTCTTTTTTTGGGGGGGTCATTGTTGGGTTTTGTTTATATTTTGATTTGTTTTGGTTTGGTTTTTCAAGACAGGGTTTCTCTGTGTAGCTTTGTCGATCCTTTGTAGACCAGGCTGGCCTCAAACTCACAGAGATCTGCCTGACTCTGCCTCCCAGTGTGTGCCACCACACCTGGCTTCTGTCTGTCTTTTTTAAAAAAGATTTATTTTGTTCTCTCTCTCTCTCTCTCTCTCTCTCTCTCTCTCTCTGTGTGTGTGTGTGTGTGTGTGTGTGTGTGTGTGTGTGTGAGCACAGTCCTCTCAGAGGCCAGAAGGTGTGGGATCCCATGGAACTGTTATGAGCTGCTCTGTGGGTACTGGGAACTGAACTCAGGCGCTCTGAACCACTGAGCCATCTCTCCAGACTCAGGCTGGCCTTGAACTTTAGATCCTCCTGCCTCAGCTTCAGTAACTGGGGTCACAGCAGGGACGCTGGGGGCTGGGCAGCCTTGACTCTGAGCCCTGTGGGTCCTTGCAGGTCTCTGGCTGAGCGGCTGGCCAGGGTGGGCCCCCCTGAGAGTGAGCCCGCCCGGGAAGCGTCAGCCATGGCTCTGGACCGCGTGACCAGACTCTGCCATCGTGTCCTTTCAGAATTGTTGTTCCAGGAACTACAGGTGAGTGAGGCAGGGGACTGGGGTGGGACTGTGCCAGAATGGGTTGGCATCACCCCCCACAGTTCCTTGTAGCCCATGACTCAGCATTCAGGGAAGTAGGGAGGGCTGGGGGTGAGGTGTCTGAGGGAGGGGAAGGGGGCATAGGAAGGAAGAGGTGGGAGGATGTGGCTGAGGGGGGTGGACGGACAGCTGCCAGCGTTAACTGGCATATGCAGCCTGTTCCCTACTGATGTCCCCCAAGTTCATGGCTCCTTATGCCCAGAGCCTCTTGAGATGCTGTGAAGGGGTGAGGTGATAAGATGGCCACTCAGTAGATGGTCTAATAGACCCTGTGCCCCCGAACTCATCCTAGACTCCCAGCTCTGTGACAGAAAGAGCCAGAAGCCTTGCATGGCCCCCTCTGAGCCTCCACTCTCCAGCACCATAGCACCTACCCCTTAACTCATCCCTGCCTCTGGGTCCCAGGCTTTGCGCCTCCCTCTTCTTGGGTGCTCTCACAGCCCAGTGGCACACTCTCCTTGATTCTTCCAAATCTTAACTCAACTATCTCATTCTTAGGAAGAAGTCCCCAGATTATTCCAAGTTAAAATACGGCCCTTCGCCACCCCCTCATGGTGGGGCACCCTTTTCATCCTTCTAATTCAGGAGGCAGTTTGAGGCCAGGGTAGTCTACAGATAGAGTTCCAGGCCAGCCAGAGGTACACAGACAGCTGCCCTGTCTCAAAGATAGGTAGATACATGGATGGATGGCTAGACAGACAGACTGATAGATAGAATACAGCAGGATAGTGACTTGTCCAGCTATGAGGAAGGCTGAGGCAGGAGGATTGCCTGAGCCTAGGAGCTCAGAGTCAACGTGTCCAGTATGGCTGTAGCCCCATTTGTTGCAGGATGGGCAGGAAGAGAAGGAGGAGTCCTGGAGAATTCCAGTACTGTTGGTTTCTCTCCCAAAACACTTAACAGCAGCAGGATATGCCAGAGCTTTGCTTTCCCCCTTTAAGGAGCTGGGGACTGAGCTCAGGCTTTCCACACTAGGTGTGAGCCACACCCCAGCCTCCACTGGGGATCCTAGGCAGGGGCTCTACCATTGAGCCACACCCCAGCCCCTCCCTGGGGGATTCTAGGCAGGGACTCTACCACTGAGCCACACTCCAAGTCTTCCCCCACTGAATCCCTGCCTCACTATGTTGCCCAGGCTGGCTTAGAACTCACAAAATTCTACCTGCCTCTACTTCTTCGGTGTGAGACTAAAGCTGTGCACCACCATGCAAGGCTTGACTCCTGTTTTGATGTGGAGTGAGGGGGTTGGGACAGGGTCTCTCTATGAAGCCCTGGCTATCCTAGAACTCAGTATGTAGCCCAGTCTGGCCTCATCCTTCCCAATACCAGGCTTCCAGTCAGGAGTCCCCACGCTCAGTCTGTGTTCTTCATCTTTTCTCACATTGTATGTTTTGAGATACAAATTAGAGGCCTAGGAAGATCTGAGAAAGAGGGAGGGGAGAGCGTGGGAGATAAAGCTGGCATGGGGTCCCAGAGGAGGAACCGCAGAAAGGGCATGCGCAGAGCCGACATGAGTGTTTAGCCTGTACAGTTGCAGAGCTGTGCTCAAACACACTGGTGAGTGTATGCATGTGTGTGTATTTGTGTACGTGTGTGTGTGTGTGTGTGTGTGTGTGTGTGTGTGCATTTTGGCATGTGTCAGGCGGTGTAGGAGCCTGACCCTCTTCCTCTCCCACTTGTTACCCACCATGGGTCTGTGTTGCCGAGGGCAAGCTGACTGTCTTCACGTCCTAGGAGGCCTTACTTGCTCTAGCCCTGCCGATTGGGCCACCCTTATCCCTGAACCTCCATCATGCAGCAGCCTTATTAAAGGCTTACCGAAGGCCAGGCTTGGCCTAAATCTCTGTTGTCACTTCCTTAAAAGTCCTAATGAGCTCCTTTCCACATTTTGAGGACTTGAGAGGCTGGAGCAGCAGGATCCCAAGATGGAGAATAGCCTGGGCTGCACAGGAGGACTCTGTCTCAAAATGAAACCTATAAAGTGAAACTGACCGTGGCGGCATCTGCTCATGGTCATAGCCCTCAGGAGGTGGAGGCAGGAGGTTCTGAAAACCTGAGAACATCGTCTGCTGCATAAGAGTTGGGGGGGTAGCCTGAGGTACATGACTTTCTGAAAGCAAAAAGGATTAGGATGTTGCTCAGTGATGGAGCAGTTGACTTTATGATGATAAGGCTGAGTGGTGGTTCAGGCCTTTAATCTCAGTATTTGGGAGACAGAGACAGGTAGATCTCTGAGTTTGGGATCTACAGAGAGTTCTAGGACAGTCGGGGCTACACAGAGAAAACCAAAATGATGGTGATGATAAAGACGATGAACAAAGTTCTGAAAGTCCTAATAGTTTTTGAAGGAGGGTCCCCAGTTTTTGTTGTTTTTAAATGGGGTTCCACTATGCCTGGAACTCACTGTGTAGAGCAGGCTGGCTTAAACGCAGATCTGCCTGCCTCTGCCTCCTGGAATTAAAAGGCGAGTCCGAGGGTTAAAGGCCACACCCAGTCTCCAGTTTTCGTTTTGAACTGAGCCCTGAACGTGATGTAAATGTTTTCTCTGGCCATGTTGATCTCTGTGCCAGTTCTCACAGATTCATGGCTGTCTGAACTCTGCACCTTTGAGGGCATGTAGCCCTCCTCTTCGTTCACCCATCTGACATCCTCCCAGTCCTCTGAACCGTGGATTTCCCTCCCCAGAGGGAAGAAATCCTCCGTTTTTACCCACGAGACAGGGTTTCCCTGTGTAGCCATGGCTGTCCTGGGACTCGCTTTGTAGACCATGCTAGCCTGGAACTCACAGAGATCCCCCTGCCTCTGCCTCCTGAGCGCTGTGATTACAGGCGTGTTTAACTAGGCCCAGCTCAGGAAGCCAGGTTCTGACCCTGTCAGTCTGTGAGTCCCAGGAAGGCAGGGGCTAGCAGCTCCCTGATATGCCCTCAACCACCACATAGCCTGTGTTCTTCCCTTGGGAAAAGTTTCAATAAGGTGTTCCCAGCCCGACATGGTACCACCCACCTGTAATCCCAGGATTCAGGAGGTGGAGGACGGGAGATCAAGAGTTCAAGGCCAGCCTGTACTACTGTAATCAAAAGTGGGGGAAAAGGTTTCCTAAGGTGGAGGAGGGGGAGAGAGGGTGGAGAGAGGAGGCTGAACCCCTCCCCTCCACACTATCATCCCCAGCCGCACTTCAACAAGCTGATGCGCAGGAGGTGGCTGAGCAGTTCCGAGGCTCTGGATGGCATCGTGGGCACACTTGGGGCACAGGCCCTGGCCCTGCGCAGGATGCAGGATGAGCCTTACCAGGTGCGCGGAGGGCAGTGCTCCCCCCTTGGGGAAGGGAGACCCTACCAAGGGAGGGGTCTGGGAGCAGGTGGGCGGCTCTCCGCCTGGGACCCTTGGAAACTGGGGTTCAGGGCCAGGTTGGGACCCCTGCGGGGAAGTTTGGGAAGGCTTGGGGTGGGGCACGTTGGGGGAGAGCGGCTCCTCTTCTGGTAGGAGGAGGGGGGCGGTCTGGCTTTGGGGGAGCTGGGTCCTCTGGGAGGGAGGGAGCGTCCGGCCCGGTGGGCAGCGCGCAACCACGGGCCCCCGCTGTCCCCAGGTGCTGGTGGCCGAGCTGCACCGGAGGGCGCTGGTGGAGTACGTGCGGCCGCTGCTCCGCGGGCGCCTGCGCTGTCGCTCGGCGAGGACCCGCGGCCGCGTGGCGGCCAGGCTGCGCGAGGACGCGGCGCAGCTGCAGCGGCTGTTTCGGCGTCTGGTGAGTGCCGGGCCGGGCCTGGGTGAGGGGCTGCGGGGGTGGTGGTGAGGGCTCTCGGCTTGG